TTCACTCTACCTGCCTCCTGACTTCTGAAGCTTGCTTATGACTTCTTTTCATTGGAAGTGAAGGAAAAAGTAAGACCCAGATGGACCACAGGGTGCTGTGACATCAGGGTGCTGGCTGGTTGAGCTCCTGTCCCGTGTCTCCCACTCTTTAAGAGGTCCAGCCACACGCAATGGCCAGGGCCCGCCACCCTTAAGCCAGGCCTTGGAGGGACAGGCCCCTTTCTTCCTTTGAAAGCCTCCACCACATTTCCCTGGCTCATCCTACCCCTCCTGGGTCTCCTTTCTTGCGCCTCCACGCCTAGATCAGGTGTCCTGCAGAAAAGTGTGTTGCTTCTTGCTGACAGCCCCTACCCCGTACACAGTTCCCAGACACCACGTGTCACCAGGAAGTCTTGAGCTCAGTGAGCAGGGCATCTTTCTCCTGATATTCATCCACAACGAGGACTACAGGAGCTACCCCAGGAATAAGAAGGAGAGGGGAGAGTGGCGGGGAGCAGGGAGGAGCAGACAGTGTGATCTGGGAGTGGCAGAAAGGAGAATGAGCAGAACTGGTAAACAGGGAAGGGGCTTTCTAAACCCTAGGTCAAGGTCACCTGAGCAGGCTGGGCTAATAAAGTGCTGTGAGAATACTCATTCCTCTATCCCCTGCCCCCTCCTGCCCCGCCCAAACTCATTATCTTCCGGGATGACTGTCATTCTTCACATCATCACATGCTGGGATTTCAGAAGCTGTCAACAAACAAATCCCTATGGAAACTGGCCACTCGTGCTTCATGGACCTCGGGGGATTGCGGCCATTTACCAGCTGGCTGAGCTCAGTGCCTCGAAGGGAAGACGAGAGCTGGGGTGCAACTGCTGGGGAAGAGGACGAGATGAGGGGCAAGGACAGCCCCCTCCCCTTTGGAGAGGACTGAGTGGCACCAAGAACAGGTCTTGGAAAAGCCTTTTGTCCTCCCCCAAATCCCAGGCTTGCAACTGAGGAGATTCCCAAGAAAAAGTCCTGCCAGCTGGTAATGAGGCGTGATCCCCTAACCACCAGGGTTCCTCACCAGGCTGCCCAGCAGAGTCCACTGGAACGTTCTGCCACTTAACGTGAATGAGCGCCCCGTGTCCATCCTGCCACGGGGCACCTCCCTCACTCTGCCTCCACCCACTGCACACTGGTGACCACTTCACCTTCAGCAAGTCTCCTGACGCTCACCCCACCCTTGCACCCCATGGCACCCCTAGGCAACCCGCCCTCCACTCCTGTCTGCTGCGCCGTAATAACCTCTTAACTGCTTTCCCCACCGCCTCCTTGGCGCCCTCAAATGCGTCTCTATCCTGCAAAGAGATGTTTTTCTAAAATAAAAGCTTTGCCAAGACCTCTCTGGTTAAAGCCTTTCTGAACTTCCCGTTTCCTTTAGGATAAAGAGTAAAAGTCTTCATAGGACCTGCAAGGGCCTGCCTGCTTCCGGAAGGATCTGTCCAGACAACCTCAGCTGGAGGCCCCTGTCCTGGCCCCCCGGCAATCCAGAGTCTTCTCTCAGCTCTCAGACAATCATTCTCTCTGCCTAAGCCTCACCTTTTACCTTCAACTCATCCCCAGATCCTACCTCAGTTCTATTCCCAGAGAAGCGCTCTCTTGCCTTTCAGACTGCCTGGACCCCTGCTGTAAGCTCTCTCTGCGGCCTGTTCTTTCTTTTATCATAGGAAAATAACCATGTGAATTCTAACAACCACAGATTGCAATGAAATGTCCAGTCAATTCATACAAACCAAACTCCCAAAGTGCAGAGATCAGTTAGTTTTGCTTAGAACTTGTCGATTTCCAGCAACTTTAGACAATGTCTGGGCTCCCCTAGGCACGCCACAATTACTTATTTAGTGAAGGGACCAGTGAAACTTTGCTGGGGAAGAATAGATGAACAGTTGAGAAAATTTTCTTCCAGAGACAAAGAAAATCTGATGAGGAGGAATCAGTGCCTTCTTGCTGAATAGTGAGGAATCTGAATGAGCAGAGTGATTGGCTTAAATTGGAAACTTGGAGCTGACTAGATCTTAGAGCAACAAACAGTTGTTCTACATCCTGGGTGAATATCTTGGAGGCTCACTCCAAGGATTTCTTAAAACATCAGTGCTCAGTCCTCAGCTGCAGGTGTTTCCTGACATTCTGAGTTATCAGGAGAGGCACAGCCTAGGAATCAGTGTTTTCCCAGCTGACCTGTCCCTAAGAACAGCCTTGATTAAGAAACACTGACCAAGGGACAGCTAGGATCTGCCCGAGGTCAGACAGTTGTTTGACTTCGGAGTTAGGGCTAAACCTAAGAGCTGGACTCCCAGACTTTGAACCTTCTGCTCCCCTGGAAACCGAAGAGCACTAAGATCATCCTCCTGTTTTTCTGTCTCAACCAGGCAGACGCAGAGTAGAGACAGAAAATGCATGGTCATTAATTACTGGAGTTCTTGGGAAACCCTGGGAAAGGTTAACTTTTATGACCGATTGTGGGGCATCTTAGCCTGAAGAAGCCAGCAGGGCATCTCCAAAGCCACGCAGAGGCAGCCGAACGACATCCCCATGTGTCTGCACACGGAGCGTGCCTGCGTACCCGTAAATGTGTTTACTTTCTTTCATGCCAACTGTCTGGCATCGGTGCGGCGTGCGGCTCGCGGGGACCTGTGGCTACTCCAGACACCGTGGTGTTCACAAAGGCAACCCAGGAGTCACAGAGCTGGTGCCTCCGGATTTGTGAACGTTATTGGACATCAAGAAGCAGCAGCAGCTTCTTGGCGAACAGGCAGGTCAACAATGGCCTCCACCCGATCAAGACACTGTCTTGGTGCATTTTCGTGTTTCTGAGACTTCATGTGATTAAAAAAAAAACAAAAAAAAAAAAAACAGAAAAAAGGAGCCAGAGCCTTCCCTCGGGTCTAAGGAATCTGGTGCAGAATCTTTCAAACCACTGTGATGAGTGCAGGAGCCCATGATATATTCAAATGGACTTTCTACTGCGAACGAGGAGCAAGGTCTTTAAGCTCAGGACCAAGATTTCGGGGTCACTGTGTTCTTCACTACCCAACCCTCACCGCACAAGGAAAAGGATAACACTGCCACCTTCCCCCACAAGGAAAAGGATATTTGAAAGTCAAGAGTTTTCTCTGGGTCAAAGTGACTTTTATCTAAGTGGAAGGTGAAGGTGCAGAAACACACTAAACTTGGAAGCAGGAAGGGACAGGGGAGAAATAGAGGTGGGTAGGTGCTCTTAGCGATGCATGTACTTCACCAGTCCCAAGGCAGGAGGAAGGGATCTTTTAAAGATAATTTAGACTCTCTGGGTCAGAGGACGGTGTTTGCACAGACTTGGTCCTGCCCCCAAAGCAAGAGGCATGCAGGGAGACACACTGGTAGCCAGTGGCTCAGGATCACCAGTCTGTGACCAGAACACTATCCACACTACAGATCCAGGAACTTCTCAAGTGAGTGGGACCCAAAGGAAGGCGAGGGAAGAACACATCTGAGGAAACAGAGCCAGAGCGGCTGTGGAAGTCTCGCCATCCCCACGCCTCCCTGTCCAGAGTCTGCCCGTTCCCAGCCCCTGTACCTGGCTTCTCCACCATGTCCCGCTTGGGTTGCCTGCAACCAGCTCCCCCACCCCGGATGCCTCTGTAACTCTGACATGGCAGCCCCCCCCCACTCAGGCTTGTCATCTGTGGACAGTGGTCCCCCTCCCCCTTGGTGAGATGGGAGACACGAGCACACTGCTTGTCCTCTGGGGAGCAGAGAGAACAGTGCGCTGGGCCTGCGTTGGGGTAAGTTAACCTCTTCGCCCTGCTCTTTCTCTGTTCATACCACTGTCTTTGGCCTATGTGGCCTTGGCCTTGGGGCAGGTAGCTCGTCCAGTCACCCTAGTCCAGACTGAGTTATCCCGGTGGCCGCCGTGGCCTCAGAGATGGACGGAGTAAGCATCTCCAGTCACCAACTCCTGCTTGTCTGGCAAAATTCCTTCTGTCTCTGGCTTTCTGCCCACATGCCCGCATCCACTTTCTGTTATTTTTCAGGTCACTGGAACAAAACTTCTGGTGACTCTGGACAACCCACCAAAACAATGTAGCTCTACTTGTCATATCAGAGATGTTTGTCCACATGGACTCTTTCTACGACAGAAAATAAGGCTTGTTCCCTCACCAGCTGACGCTTACTCTATTGCAAGCCTTCAACCAGCCACACGATCCAGCCAGCTCCCTGAAGAACACCACGACTGGGGAGCCCACAAGAAGAAAAATGACGTCGGAGATTATTTACTTCACCCTGCCACCCGATCCGGATGCCCTTCCGTGGGCAGCGTGGCAGGTGGGCAGACAGCTGCCTCAACACTGCCGCCGCCCTCGTGTTGACAGTACACAGCAGAGAAGGCCCTCGCACAGCAGCGACGCACCTGGAAATGGGTTTGGAACTCGCCTGTCCTCCCTTTACGCTCACAGGGCTTCCCTGAGGAGTTCACACCATAAAGGACTGGAGTGCTGGATAAACTCCAAGAATTTTACAAATGTATGGTGTCCCTCAGGCCAAACATTCTTCCAGAGTTCATGAGAAAAGCCACATCTCTCCAGTCCAGCCTCTTCGCCTTATCTCACGTCCAATTTCTAGCTGCATGGCATGGCAAGGAGCCTGCAGCTGTGGCAGCCCACTGAGTGGGACCTTCCCAAAATCCCTCTGACCCCCCACTCGGGTGCCCATGCGTCACCCACTGTGCCCACCTGGAGGAGCTTCTCCTGGAGGATGGTGTTGTCCCTGGGGTCAGTGCGGTTGTCAAGCCGGAACTTGAGGGGTCGGTAGACGCAGCACATGGTGAAGCAGACCATGTAGAACACGTACAGGGCCCCCAGTGTGCAGAAGTACGGGCGCCCGTATTTGTTCCACTTGAAGCTCACCAGTTGTTTCACTGGGGTCTGCTCCAGGATCTCGCGCGCCTGCCATGGGGGAGAGAAGCTCAGTATGGCTGGCAGGGTGAGTAGTGGGGGGCGTCAGCCTACACTAGCTCCTTCATCCAGTCAGCCACGTCCTTGCAGACACTAGGCCTTCTCGCCCAGGGCACAGACCCGTGCTGCAGACTGACTACTGCTTCACCTCCAGAGGGAGGGGGGGCAAGGTCATGTTGAGATAAAGCAGCAGTTGCCAGCGCAGGGAGACACTGGCAGTCATTTGGAGGTGGATGTGGTTGGGGGGTACCCGTGGGGAGCGCGGCGGGCAGGCCGTGTAGTAGGTGAAGCAGATGAGGGCTAGATCATTCTACGTCATGAATGTTAGGGTAGAAAGTTTGAATTTCTTTGCCAGATGCTATGGAAGCAACTGGAAGTTTCACTCAAGGAAGCAGCCAGGCTTCTTCTAGAACTGTACACAAGAGAGAAGCAGTAGAGGCTACAGTTCAGTGAGGCTGTAGTCAAAGCAAGGTGGTTTGGTGACAGGTAAAGACGTAAATAAGAGAGGACCCTGGGTGGGATAACATATCTAAAAAAGTATAAAAGGGCCGGGCCTCCCTGGTGGCGCAAGGGGTTAAGTCTCAGGACTATGAAGCTGTCCACAGCCACTGCAGCACAAATTCGATCTCAGGCCAGGGAGTGACCCACAGGGTGCAGCAGACCTCTTCTGTATCACCCGCTGCCCCCCTCAGCAGTGTGTTTCAGTTGACCTGCCTGTTCTGCTCCCCACTCTGTCTCTGGTGGATCCTCTCACCCACCTCTCGGAAGCAAGGAAGGAAGAGGCAAATTCAAATTCAAAACCCAACTGGAAGGATGAACCATCAGCAGAAAGAATGTCTTTTCCACAGGTCACAGAAGGAAGAACAAGGACGGCTGGCAGTGGACAGATGCCCGCAAGAGCAGCAAGTTGAAAGTGCTCCAGCCGGGAAGCCATGACATAGGAGTCTTGGTCTTCCGATGGAACAAAGGATGTGAGCAGTGAGGGGGAGAGCGAGAGGGAGCGAGGAACTCTGATGGAAGAGAAAAGGAGGTGACCCAGAAAGCACAGGTCTGTAGGAGACGGTTGGGCGCTGACTGGATCAGAGCGAAGGCTTGCTGGGAGCACTGACCACACAAGTCCGCTCTGACTCCTAGGAAATTCTGCCCGAAGGTTGCGTTTCCAGCCACATTCTCTGAAGAAGTCCCTGGAACTGGCCACTCGATTTCTTCCCGTCATCAGCACTAACTATTGTCTGAGTTTAAGGGCTCCCTGAGGGCTTCTGGGAAATTGTCATGTGTAGATAAAGGGCGGAACGATACCTTGCTGCTCCTTGGAGGGTCCTGACAGCTCAGAGCACCTTTCTCTTTCCCACAACCCTCGCAGTTTCTTTCCCCCCAGTTCCGTGCTGTCTGCCTGATTGGTGTGTTTTTCCCTCTGGCAAACTTTTCCTCATTTCCCCATGATTCCCAGCTACACCTGGGAGCCCCAGCTCGAGCGCTTCCTCTGAGGCATCTTGTCGCCCCCATCCAGGACGGGTTAACTCGACCCCGAGCTGGCAGAGCACAGAGCACAGAGCTTCAGAGCACAGCCCTATGGCTGTCTGTGGGGCTGGAAGTGGGGGACAGGAACGTGTTTTAGCCCTACGGCAGTGTGTGGGGCTGAAGTGGGGGACAGGAACGTGTTTTATTGATTTCCATATTCTGAGTTCCTGGTATAGCCGATGCTCAATACGTTAAATGCGTGAGTGGATGGCTTGGGTGGGTGGCTGGCTGTTAGGATGGTTGCTAGAGACTTCCATATGATGATTCCTCTCCTGATTGAGCGCGGTCAGCAGACGGGACTAGGACTAAGCCAAGGGATAACACAGTGAGGAAAGGGGCCTTAGTTTTCTCCCAAAGCTCACAGGAGTCTGTCTCATGTCCACCTCTGTCAGTAGCCGGACAGGTGATGCCCGGACACCTCGCACCCCTGATTCCTTGCAGCAGCATACCTCTCGCTTCTTGGAGGAGACCACGAGTTCCAGAAAGGACACCTCCTCCCCCCAAGAGTCGATCTCCGTGAGGTCGTAGAGCGTGGACGTCAGCGGCCCGTATGTCCACTGGATGTGTTTCCGCCGCTGCATCAGGTGCTGGAACATCTGGGGGAACAGAGCGCGGAGCAAGAGGGTCACGTGTGAGGCCTCGTTGGGGGTCCACCACTCTGTGGGACTGAGGACATTTCCATGAACCTCCTTCTCCCTCCCCCAGCGGCCCTCATCAATATCTTTCCCCACCACTGACCCTGCAGAGATCTGAAAGAAGGGCCTGGACAAAGGGAGCAGAACTTTGGGATACGGGAGCAGACAGCCTGCAGCCAGACCCCCAAACACTCCCAAGTCAGTGATTCTCAGGGCTGGGAACCTTAGGGGGGTAGGAAGTAGGAGTCCCCCACCCTTTGGGTGAGAATTTGAGAAGGGTCATCGGGGGCCGGAGGGGCGGGGGGCGGGGCGACGCACCACGGTGTTGCCCTCCACGCCCGCCAGCTTGAAGGGCGTGAGGCCCTGGTGGTTGGGCACCAGCTCCAGGGACTGCAGGTGGTCACCGCGCCCGTCGTAGGACAGCAGCAGGCTGTACATCTGGCAGGCGAAGGTCTTGTTGGGCTGGAGGATGAGGAGGTGCAGCACCGTGTTCCCTGGGGGGGCGGGGGGGAGTGACCACGGGCGGAGGCCCTGAAAGCCACACGGGGCTGCCTGCCCAGCCTGCCGCCCAGCGCCCTCCCCGCAGCTCCTACCCAGGGCGTCCTGGGCCCGGATGTCAGCTCCGTGCTCGATGAGCAGCCGCACGATCTCCTCGTTGCCCACGCAGGCAGCGAAGGACAAGGGGTGCTCCCCTGGGGGCGCAGGGGGGCGCTGGCCTGAGAGCCGGGACCGAGGCCGGACCCCCGGGGCTGGCCTCCTGCCCACGC